TCAGATTCCCGACTGCTGAGTGAAGGATATAAGAGAAATACCTAAGGGCCCTTTCTATCCTTAACATCCATTCTATAGTTTGATTTCTGCCAGACATTACTCAGACAGTTCACACCTCCAAATATGCACCATACTTGCTACACACGCAAAACATGATCAGGGCAAAAGAAATAGGCTGAGATGTCTCTCCTTTGCTGCCAAAATCTATCAAGCATATCCCAATTCCCATCAGTTTCAAAAAGTAAACCTTCAACTGCAAGTGTCAAAGAAATAAAATGTAAGCAAAGGAAAGGCCAAGAAAAATTATAGTGAAATTGATTATGTATCTAAAAATGCTATCTCAAAAGATAATTTCTTCAGGAATCAAGCAATACAGAGTAATGAGTTAGCAACAAAATAAATGTGCCATAAACCATTCTGACAGTCAGTAACAACATTATAAACAAAAAGCTCTTTGGGCGCCTGGGTGGCTCAGTTGGTTAAGCGACTGCCTTCGGCTCAGGTCATGATCCCGGAGTCCTGGGATCGAGTCCCACATCAGGCTCCCGGCTCGGCGGAGAGCCTGCTTCTCCCTCTGACCCTATCCCCTCTCATGTTGTTTCTCTCTCTCTCTCAAATAAATAAATAAATAAAATCTTTAAAAAAAAAAAAAGCTCTTTTTCCCACAGAAAAAGAGTGTGGGAATTGTGCAATATCAAACACCAACACAATATATACGCAATATGAGATCTTAAAGCGTTTCAGGATCTGCTTTTTCAAAGACAGGCTCTCAGAGAAAGATAATATGAACTAAGCTGTGAAAATGCAGTTTGAATGCCATTCAAATGTTATCACCCCAGCCAAGTGAGAAGTTTCCTGTCACCCTTTTGACAATTTGGGTTCAGATGCTCTTCCATTGCCTACTAAGCTCGGAAGTAATGTTCTATTTTAAAAATGATATAAAAAGAGAGGGTAGAGGAAGAATGTGGCAGGCAAAACAATTTACATTGCAAAATTGATACTGAGCCAAGTGTCAACACCAAATATAGGATAAATCAACTCTGGAGCCACCCAGCCTGGGTTCAAATTCCAATTTCATCACATACCAGCCTTGTAAATTTTAACAATTCAATTAATTTAAGTTCTCTGTGCCTAGCTTCTTCATCTGTAAAAGAGAACACTGTAGTACCTACCTCACAGGTAAAGTGCTTGGAATAATGCCTGGCATACTGTAAACACTATAGAAATACTAGGTAATGGGGCACCTGGGTGGCTCAGTCGTTAAGCGTCTGCCTTCGGCTCAGGTCATGATCCCAGGGTCCTGGGATCGAGCCCCACATCAGGCTCCCTGCTCAGCAGAGCGCCTGCTTCTCCCTTTCCCTCTGCCTGCCGCTCTGCCTACTTGTGCTATCTCTCTGTCAAATAAATAAATTAAAAAAAAAAACTTAAAAAAAAAATTTAAAAAAAAAGAAATACTAGGTAATGTTATCACGATTATTATTTTCCTTACTATATTGAGACTAAATGTTAAGTGAGAAGAACAACCACACTGTAATACAGGCTCAAGCTCCAGTTTAAAATTGTTACCAGGTATTTTGTTCACTGTTCAGTAACAACTGTTATTTCAATTGGTATTTCCATCCCCATCCTCTAGAAACTCACAAATCAAATCACCAAGTATTAAGTTCATACCATATGAAATGAGTATATAGAAGCATAATTCAATATGCATCAAAAGTATAGCATATGCTATATATATACAATAGAATGTTATTCAGCCATAAAAAGGAATGAAATTCTAATCTATGCTCTCACATGGATGAACTCTACTACAACAAAGATGAACCTTGAAAATATACTAAATGAAATAGATACAAAAGGACAGTGCACGACTCCACCTACAATAGGCAAATTCGGAAAATCAGAAAGTAGAACAGAGGTTACCAGGAGCTGGGGCGTGGGAGGAGGGGAATGGGGAATTGCTTTTTATTGGGTGCAGAGCTTCTGTTCGGAATGACGAAAAAATTCTGGAAATGGATAATGGTGATTAATGATGTGCTTAATGCAATGAAGTATATGCTTAAAAAGGGTTAAAATAGTAAATTTTATATTATGAGTATTTTATCACAACCAAAAAATATCTTTTAAAAATACAACCTATATTTTCAACAGCAACTTTCAACAGGAGCATCAGCCTTAATGGTACTAAAATTTAAAAAAAAGATCACTTATTTTCAAGTTCCTGATGATGGACAACAAAGGAGTCAATATCAACCCTTAGCTGGACTTGGTTTAAAACACATGCTTGAAAATTGGTACATAATTCGCAAATTCAAAAAGTATTATTATTTCATTTTGCTGACAATTTTTTTAGCTCGTTGAAGAGGAAAAAAAGAGGATTATACTGAGAAAATAGCTTTATATGTGGCCAATGCATAATGGTAGTTTTATGAGGAGGTATCTACCCACACAGAATCATGACAGGAGTGCACCACTATCCCTGTGCAGGGCACCATAAATGGATGTGTAAACCTACCGGTGTTCAATTCAAAAGCAGAGGGGGTTCCCATATATGGGTAAACCATAATGTAAACCACTGAAATATCCCCCAAATTCAAAGCAGAAATTAAAAGCCTATTATTTTGAAACATACAGAACACGAAATATTTGAAGTCTCCATTCCAAACACCACAACCAAAAGGCATATTGCATTTCAAAGACACAACAAAAATAAATTTAATAAATTAGCATTTTCCTAGAATGGCTAAGGTGAAGGTACTCTAGTTGGGATAATTTAATTCTCCAGTAAACTCATAAATACCATATATCAAATATCACTCAAGGAATAATACATAAGGCCAAAACCAGACTAACAATATTAGCAAACACTTACATGGCTCTTCCAATACGCCTGATTTGTTCTAAGCTCTTTACAGACACTAACTCACTTGATCCTCACAACAACCTTCTGAGAAAAGTACTCTTTTATTTACATTTTACAAATGAGGAACTGAGGTGTAGAGGGGTCAACTACCTTGTCTGGGCTCACTGAGCTGCTAGTAAGTGGTAGAGCTAGGACCTGAATAATGGAAGTGTGGTTCCCCAAACCCTGCTTTTAATCACTATGGTTTACTATCTCCTGGTGACACTGAGGAATGGAATACATAAAAATACAGACAAACTCAAAAGGCAAAACAACTTGTGCAGTTAAATATAATAAAAGCTCTGAGGATATCACTGTATCACAACACAGGACAGTAAGTGATACTTAGAATGACTGCTCTGAGACATAAGAAAAGGTTAAAGTATGTCAGTATACTTAGTGTTTAAGAAAGCAAGGAATTTTTTAGGGCATTTAAAATTGTTCTATACAAAACAATCAGTATGATTTCCATCTCTAAAAGGGTAAAACTTTCAACAATCCAGAATTACACATTCCCTGAGGGATCTAAAAAGGGTTGTACTGAGCAATCTTGCTTGCCTCTTATCTCATTCTTAAAGATAAGGATAGTGTGTGTGGGGGGGAGGATCATAAATTAAGCTTTCCAGGTGTTTTAATTCCAGGTATATAACAACTTAATACTAAAGATATTACAAATCATTTAGATTGATCAGAGAATAAACTCATCATTTAGGTTGATGAGAGAATAAACTCATAGAATTATGTGTGACTATTGTGAAAAGCCTAGAATGTGATCGTTTATGGAGTTATTAAAAAAAAAAAGAAAGAAAAGGTATAGGCTCTGAAGTCATACATAGACCTGAACTTAAAGCCTAGCCCCACCATTTAGTAACCATAAGTTTTTGGCATGTTATCTTCACATACCCGAACCTCAGTTTCCTTCTCTGTGTAAATTGAGGATAAAAATTCCTAACTCACAAGGTTGTTGTGTGAGCTAAGAAGAAAATAAATGCAAAGTATCAAACACGGTCCCTGAGATACAGCAGATGGCTAACAATGAGCGACTATTATTCCCTAGTCTTATTCTACTTTGTCCCCCTAGTATTAGAAGAATCTAATCTTACCAATTAGCAAGCCATAGGCAGGCTTCTCAAAATTACATGAAGATACGCTCTATTCAAAAATGGAACATAAAGTACAAAAAAATACAAAACCAAACCATCAACGGATCAAAGATTTCAGAATCCTGCCTTTCCTCCCATATCTATCCTGGTTGGTTTTGTCATAACCCATATTACTTTATCAACAAGATGAACTTTATTATTTTTTTTGCTGTCTAAACATTCCTAGTGAGGTTCTGTTGCTTATTTATTTTGACGGCTAACTTTGCAAAGGTACTTGTTACCACTGCTTGAAAACCAAAAAGAAAGCTAGGAACAAGGAACATTTTAATGAAATGCTGTAGCAGTTCCATCCATCTCAACAGTTGATTGGATCCTATGTATATCATTTATTATCACAAAAGATTTTCACATTACTACGCCACTTCCTTACTCAACAAATACATGCATTAAGGAGCAAAACTCTTGTCAGTACGAATGCTCTTTAGGGACACCAAAACTTAAAGCCTAGTGCTCTCAGTAAGGATCCTAGGGGCGGGGGGTGGGAAGTAGACGGTTGGAGGAGCAGGGAAGGTGCCTGGGTTTCAGGGCAAGTGGAAATTAAGAGAATCGTAAACTGAATCTCCTTAAACAAGCCTGGATATGAGTCTTGCGGGGCAAGGAGTGGAGAGGGGCGGGCGAAGTGGGCCTGGAGGCAAGAGAGGAAAAAGGAGGCAAATGCATGCTTTAGAAGGGTCTATGCCACGGGGGGAGAGGAAAGTCATCGCCCATCGGCACCGCGAGAGCTGAGGCGGAGAGAAGTGGCCGCTCAGCCCAAGTCCCCAGGACAGGTTCAGCCTCAGGAGTCTGGGAGGACTGAGGGAATGGGGACCCCACCGGAGAAAGATGAGGACTGAGGAGGGTTCCCGGTCGCCTTCAATGGGAAGCTGCTGTGCCAGCCGCCATCGCGGCGTCAAAGAAGAGGAAGGCATGGACCCAACAGGGAGCGCACAGGTTACCTGTCCTAGCCGCCTGCCCACCGGTCTCCACTTCCGCAGACTCCGGGTTACCACGGGCTACCCGGGCCCCGCCTGGTGACGTAATCCAAGCGCGCCTGGACCGCAGTCGGTCCGGCCCGCCCACTCCGGAAGAGCTGGGCGGAGTCGCCGGGGGGAGGTCTGCGCAAGCGCGGAGCTGCAGCCGGAGAGCGTGGGCTGACAGGGATGGCTTGGTTTGGGGGTTGTAGGGTTACCCTGTTACCAGGTTATTTCTAATTACAAAATCTTATAGGCATTTAAGAAAAAAAAGTTACCGAATTAACAACAGTGCACTTTTTTTCCTTATTTTACCCTGCTCCTGGTATATATGACTGTAGTGTACATATTCATTCCACCACAATTTATTACAGTTCTGTTATGTGCCAGGCAAGCAGTGTTAAAGGAATCTGGGGGGTACAGCAGTGAACAAAACAGTAATCTTCTGGAGATTCCTTTCTAGTTCAGAAAGTAAACATTGAATGACAACAAATGTATATGCGTTCGTAGAGATCAGAAGTGTGTGGAAGGAAAAAAAAGGAGGGTGCCCCATTAGTTTGAGATGTTAAGGAAGTAACTATGAAGAGGCCTGTTGAACTGAGAAGTCAGCTTTGTCAAGATCTGGAGTTAGAACAACCAAGAGAAGAATCTAGATGTTCGAAAGCTATGGGGAGGGGATAAAATGTGGTGCCATTGAGAAAGTGAGAAAGGAGGCTAGGGAAAGAACAGAAGAGGAGATCAACAAGGCAAGTAGAATCCTGATCTTGTAGAGCCTTTCTGCGTCATCATAAATGGCATGGGTTTCATTTGAACTGTAATGGGTAGCCAGTGAAGAGTTTTAGACATGCAAGTGACAGGATCTGTTTTTGTAAAACCGCCCTAGATGTTGTGTATACAATGAACTATTGGGAGACAAAGGATGCAAAGAGAGCAAGTTGCTTTTGCAGTGATGCTGTAAGAAATGATGGAGAGAAATGAACAAATTTAAGGAATAATTTGGAGCTGGAGATGACAGACTTCGAGATGGATTACATAAGGCGATAAAGGAAAAGAAAGGTGTCAAAAATTACGCCTAAATTTTGGGCCTCAGCAAAAAGCCAAATAATGCAGCTGAAACAACTTCTAATGCTTTGCAAGATTTGCTTCTCCTTCCTTCAACCCCGATCCCTTTGCTTCTGTTACCAAGCCCTTTTGGTTCTTATCTCTTTGACCATCTCTTCTCAGTTTCCATCCAGGGGCTCCTCTCCCTTTTCCTTAACTCTTTCCTCCTTGATCTTCTTATGCTACATCAAGCTGGAAACCCAAAAGCCTACAAGTGCTCAGGCAGTGAACACGAAGGAGTGAAGCTCATGATTAGAGATGGAGAACTGGAGTTCATGGTCCCTTCTCAGCTCTGGATGATTTTTGCCAACCAAGAGTGCTGGCTTGGTGATGTGGTGATGATACAGATACTTACATAAAATTCTTACGTAAAATTTGTTAAATTTTAAATGTTGGTCACTAATTTGAACTTTGTTAAACTTTTATTTTGGACCAAACAAAACACATGTGCAGGCCACAAGTTTGCCTCCGTGGTGGATATTTTCCCAGTGTGATGACTTCATCTACTCTCTTGGGACTACCACCAGTAAGTTGATAACTCCCAAGTCTGTCTCTCCACCCAAACCTTTTTAAAATTTGCTATTGAAATACTCAGTTGGCATCTCAAACTTGACATTTAAAACTGAACTCATCAGAGACTCTTAAATATAGGGAACAAACTGAGGGGTGCTGGAAGGGAGGTGGGTGGGGGGATGGGGTAGCTGAGTGATGGGCATGAAGGAGGGCACGTGAAGGAATGAGCACTGGGTGTTCTGTGCACCTGATGAATTAGTGAATTCTACCTCTGAAACTAATAATACAGTATATGTTAATTAAATTGAATTTAAATAAATAAAACTGAAATCATCATCTGCCCCCACCATCAAACCTAACCTACTCAGTTATTCTCTGTCTCAGTTAACAGTATCAACATCCACCCAGGCACCCAAGCCTGAAATCCAAAATGATCCCAGGCTCATCTCTCTCCCTTATCCCACAGTCAAACCAAAAATGTCCTGACTTGAATCTCCTCAGTATTTATCACATTTGCCCACCACCTCCATTCTTAACTAACCACTGCCTTTGATGAAGCATTCGTATCTCTCTTTAGGAAAGTCACATAACCTTTCTGCACCTCAGTTTTTTTCAGTTGTAAAATGTCACACGAGTTGGGGGAGGGCACAGGGAAAGGGAGAGGCAGAGAATCTCGAGCAGAATCCCTGCTGAGCGCAGAGCCTGACAAGGGGTTCGGTCTCACAACCCTGAGATCATGACCTGAGCTGAAACCAAGAGTCAGACGCTTAACCAACTGAGCCACCCAGGTGCCCCAAACCCTCAAATTTTAGATAATAGAATATCCTATCTTTGCTGGACTTGTGGCCACTCTCCTTCTGCCCCTCCCCCTGCATATGCTTGCTCACTTTCTCTTTCTCTCTCTCATAAATAAATAAAATCTTTAAAAAAGAGAATTTTAAAAAAAGTCATAAAAGAAGAGCTAGCTGGCATGAGGGAAAAAATGCTTGGAGTTCGGCAGCCATCTTGACCATGGATGGTAACCATAAGGATGAAAAGCCAACATGCTGAGAAAGGAGGGGGAGAAGGAGCGTGGGATTCTGAGTCATTGCTGACATTTTTGAGATGCTGACCCTGATATCTCTCTCTGGACTTCTTAGTAAACAATACTGCTTCTGGTTTTTGCCCATTAGTAAGGCTTGTTGTTGTTATTGTTGCTGCTTGCAATTACTTTTCTAAGTTCCTCTAAGTACCAAACATAGTTATATAAGCCCTTCAGCTCTTGATAGAATTTATTAGCCTAAAGCCTGTCTGCCATGTCTCTGGCCCATTTAATGTCACCATAGTCCACCCACATGTCACACCAAAGCAAGTGAGTGTGTTAGAACCCAGCATGGGTTGGGCGCCTGGGTGGCTCAGTTGGTTAAGCAACTGCCTTCGGCTCAGGTCATGATCCTGGAGTCCCAGGATCGAGTCCCGCATTGGACTCCCTGCTCAGCGGGGAGTCTGCTTGAAAGATTCTCTCCCTCTGTCCCTCCCCCTCCCCCTTCCCCCATGAACTCTCTCTCTAATAATAAATAAACAAATCTTAAAAAAAAAACAACAGGGGCGCCTGGGTGGCTCAGTTGGTTAAGCGACTGCCTTCGGCTCAGGTCATGATCCTGGAGTCCCAGGATCGAGTCCCGCATTGGGCTCCCTGCTCAGCGGGGAGTCTGCTTCTCCCTCTGACCCTCCCCCTCTCATGTGCTCACTCTATCATTCTCTCTCTCTCTCAATAAATAAATAAAATAAAATAAATTAAAAAAAAAAAAAAGAACCCAGCATGGGTTATATGCCATCATTTCCTAAGACAGGAATTGTGGCAAAAAAATTCTCTCTAAAACTCCTTGTGGATTGATGAGAGACAGGTGAGATGAATGTGTCAAAATATAAATGCAGGATTTAAAATATTTGCAAGTTTCTAAAAGAAAAATCATACCAGAGTAGGGTGGTTGATAAATGAAAGTTGAATGTAATGACTGGCCTGACAGCCATGAGCCACAAGTCACATCTCAGTGACTTGGACAAAATGGGTTGAAGAGATTACCATTGATTTTATATGCAGTCGACCCTTGAACAACATGGGGTTGAACTGTGTGGGTCCACTTACACATGGATTTTTTTTTTGTAAATACAGTATAGTACTGTAAATATATTTTCTCTTCCTTATGATTTTCTTGATAACGTTTTCTTTCCTCTAGCTTACTTTATTGTAAGAATACAGTATATAATACATATAATATATAAAACATATGTTTATATTATCGGTAAGGCTTCTGGTCAACAGTAGACAATTATTAGTAGCTAAGTTTTGGGGAAGTCAAAAGTTATATGCCTATTTTTAAAAGATTTATATATTTAATTTATTTTTAAAAACTTTTATTTATTTATTTATTTATTTGAGAGAAAGACAGAGAGCAGGGGGAGGGGCAGAGGGAGAAAGCGGACTCCGCACTGAGTGCAAAGCCCAATGCGGGCTCCATCTCATGCCCTGAGATCATGACCTGAGCTGAAATCAAGAGTCAGACGCTTAACAGACTGAGCCACCCAGGCGTCCCAAGTTATATGTGTATTTTTGACTGCACAGGATGGGGAGGGGATCGGTGCCCCTAACTCCCTTGCTGTTTAAGGGTTAACTGTCTAGTCATATAGCAGTTTGGGCCACAGATCTTATCACTATACTGGTGGTTCATGCCAGAAGTAAATGGAGAGGAGAGTCTGTGGCTCAAAGCAACGGGTCATTTCCAAGGGCACTGAAACTGAAAATGATGCTCCTTTTACTAAAAATAAGAAGTAAGAGACACAGGGAGCAATTGAAGTATTGTTGCCAAAGAGAATGGAATATGGGGATTCCTAGAAAGAAAGAGAGTGGCATTCATGATAACATATTCATTTTTACCAGAGGAGGAAACAACAGTTTTCAAAGGATTCCAATGAAAGCAAACATTAAAGAAGTTCAGCCATGGATTACACAGAGCTTCTGACTTCTAGAAAAGAAAGTCCCTCTACACTCATGTCTGGTCTCTCTTTTCTTCCCTAACACAGAAGCACGTTCAGTGGAAAAGGGGGTATGTAAGACTTAGCATTAATACATTCCTGCTACCTGGGTATGTGTCATATAGCCACATTCATTGTTTTTCTTTTCACAACATTTCCTGAGTGCTGCCATGTATAGGTACATTTATGGGCTCTGAGGATACAAAGATGAAAACATATGTCCCTGACATCAAACAACTTCCAGGCTATTGTAGAGATAAAAGTGGCTTATTACATTAGAGGTCAGAGCTCTGGACCTGTGTCCTAGGTGGGCCCCAAATAGCAAAGCCAGGATGAAGAGAAAAGACAAATGAGGATAAATTTGCGGAGGGGAGAGAGATGTTGAGAAACCAAGAATGCTGAAGACAAGATCGAGTGCAACAGGTCAAAGGGAGATAG